AGGATTATGAATACTGAACATCATAATACAGATTCAGTATCATAAAATTCAACAGTGAATATAGAATATGTCTTGTCTCCATGCTTCTCTACCGTACAATTTCAGAGAACAAGGAACACCTTCTACATAAGGCATTTAGTGATACCAAATGGCACAGACTGAAGAGAGGTGGCTCTTAGATGCCAGAGGCAGAATTCACTATAAAAAATGTGCGTGCAATTGTCAAGGTTGTGCATGGTGAGGACCAAATGATAGCCATCCAAAAAAGTAGTCCTGCATAGAGTGATAGTTATTTTGGACCGCAAGGGTGTTGGGAATGGATAGCCAGAAAAGTAGTCCTGCATAGAGTGATAGTTATTTTGGACCGCAAGGGTGTTGGAATTGGATAGCCAGAAAAACAAAAGAATTATTATAAGAACTAATTATTGAAAATTCACGCTTAGGGGATATCACTGTATGCACAGATGGATATGTATTGAAACTTTAAAAAAGTGGATGTGGTTTCATTGCAAAGGAGAATGGATGCTGTTTAAAAACAAAGCCTCAGTTATTACGTCACAATGTCTAGCATGAGAATGGAGGGGAAGCAATAACAGCAGCTTTTCCACGGCTAGAGAGGAGTACAAACCAACATGATGTAATTTTAACTGACTCAGAGAGTATGCTTCGAAAAGTAGAAACTGGTGTCTTGGTTTGCATCGCTTAATAGGACTCAAATAAGAAGCATGTCAGTATCATGAATTATTTGCCTAAGATATTCAAGTGTGTGTGGAAAGGAGCAGACTGATAGATTGGCTGCTGCTGTCCCTGTGGGTGGTGAGCTACTTTAAAAAAACTTGGACATGGTGAAAGCATTTTGGGATCAAACGAACTGAACAGCAGAACAGACAGAGTATCCATATCTTTAGAGAATGATTTAGTTAGGAGTGAGCAGTGTGTCTGGACGGTTTTCTACCTGCAGGGAAAAAACAGGCTAACTTTAAATCAAGATGCATCTGCTGCTGCTGAGGATGGAAATGGAGCACATATGGAAATGTCATGAGCGCAGTGATGTCATTTCTTGACTCATTCATTCCTTATACCTCTCTCAGCTAGTACTTTCTGCTGCTGTCTGTTGTGACTGATTTATTTGTTAGACGAGATGATGCATTCATTTATGCCTACTATATGGAAAAGGTGTAACAAATATATTTGTTAAGTAAGAATACATTAATAATAATGAAACCAGATCAACTGCCCCCTTTTTCTGCTTAAAATGGCAACATACTCATTTTAAAGCAATTTAGATGGCTAGGTAATATTCTAAAAATAGCTGTTACTTGATTCTACAATTGTTTCACTTGAAAACTACACAAGGAGGAGGTATTCAGACCATCATATAAATTAAGTTAATTGGTTTTGTGTAGCAAATAACTTTTTAGAACTTGCTTGGCCCTCTACTATTCCATGAGCGACACAAAACCCTGATATCTTTTGAGGAATAAGATAATGCACAAACCCAGCATTTTGTGTACATGAAAATATCTGATGGGATATAATGAATCCATTTTCAGGCTTCTATGGTATGGATGACTGTCGTTCAGCAGTTTACAGCTCTAGAAATGCCCTATCCTTTTTAGATGCCTGGGTACCATCACCTTCCTCTCTTCAGAATTGCATTCAGAATGAACAAAAGGATTTACATATTGGTGAGTATTTCATGTTTGTATTTTATTTTAACAGCTTTTATTTAGTTGTAACAGGCTGTCGTAAATAAATGTTGTCAGTGTAAATTCAGTGACTGGACGTAGTTATCATAAAGTTTGTTACTGACAAAATGTTGCCATAACTGTTGAAATACATGCAGATTATCATCATTGCACTCCGTGGGTGTTCCCATAAATGCTTATATCTTCTTCTTCTGCATTTCTAACCCCCTATCCTTCGCTGACACGCAGCTCTCCCCACATCCTCCCCATCTTTTTAAAGTCACTCTCTAGCTCCCTTCTCCATGTTTTTCGGTCTTCCTTTATTTATATAACACTTCTTTCAGTGTCATAAATTTTTTGGTCTTCCTTTATTTATATAACACTTCTTTCAGTGTCATAAATTTTTTGGTCTTCCTTTATTTATATAACACTTCTTTCAGTGTCATAAATTTTTCGGTCTTCCTTTATTTATATAACACTTCTTTCAGTGTCATAAATTTTTTGGTCTTCCTTTATTTATATAACACTTCTTTCAGTGTCATAAATTTTTCGGTCTTCCTTTATTTATATAACACTTCTTTCAGTGTCATAAATTTTTTGGTCTTCCTTTATTTATATAACACTTCTTTCAGTGTCATAAATTTTTTGGTCTTCCTTTATTTATATAACACTTCTTTCAGTGTCATCAATTTACAGCTAATTGTGCCAGTTCACTACTGATTTGCCAGCCTAATTCTACTCTTTGAGTACTTCCAATTTCTAGCCGCTTTGATCTTCTGTAAAAATGTGTGCATTTTAATACCCATGTTAAGTCCTCATTTTGTTCAGCTTTCTAAGGGTATTAATTATATCAGCCTATTTAACAAGTTAAAATTCTTATACTTTGGTAGAACCAGTCAGTTTTTATATTTCTTGATTGCTGTGATGTCTGCATTTAAAGGTACAAAGATACAAATTTAATTGCTGGCTGTGACTTTTCGCACTGATTCAATCTAATTTCTTTTTGCTAGCATGACTCAACTAACTAAATCACATTCATGCATCTGTGTGTGTGTAATTTTATGACCAAGTGGGAACTCTACTTCTTCTTTGCGTTCAGTTTTGTATGCTCAGATCAGACAATCAGGTGGGTTGTCTCTATGAACTCGCATGTCAGCAGCAGGTCTCTCACAGCTTCCCATAGCTTGCTCTGCACACTTTGCTCTTGAGATAGTGGAAATAAAATGCCAAGGACCATGTTGTGTGGAGGGGGAAAATAAGGAAGGATATGGGAATTTAAAAAAATAACAAAATTGATTACACTAAGCTTGAGAGCTGAGCATCTCAGACAAAGCACGCTAAATACATGTCATGGTGACAACGGTCCTAAAATCCTAGGCTCTCTGTAGAAGACTTATTTTTCCATAACACGTTTGGGTCTTGCTAGTCGCACTCACCCTCACCAGTGGCTGTGATTTCCATGCTTCCCCATCAGTATAACAAGAATGTCTGGAAAGATGAAAAGGTGACATCATCTGGTAACATGATCAGGCAGGGATTAAGGTCTCGATTAGGACTATTGTTTTTCAATAAAAAATATTTCCTTTGGTCACTTTAAGCAAAAACAAATAAAAAAGTTCATTGGTCCTGAAACAAATTATCATCATCATCATCATCATCAGGTGCCTTGCCGACTGGCATGGGCGATCATGCCTCTCCATTATCTGCGATCTCCTGCAGCATGTATCAGTTTGTGTGCCAACAGAAACATTTATGAAGGATCCAATTATTAATATCTATTAGTGAAACTGATTATTTTTTGTTTAAGTGACTTTGGTGAAACATGACCTTGTTTAGGAAGTCAAGTTCCCCTTGCGGGTCTTCAGGGCCCCATTTGGGGAGAGGGGGTGAAAATAGATCCCTGTCTCCCAATCAAGCATTTTATACAAGGCGAATAATTAGGGGGAGTTTCCTTAGAAGTCAGATGCCCGAGAGGCGAGGAACCAACAGTCTGCATACAGATAAGCCAGATCCCTAAAACAGATCTGCACATAAAACTCAAGCTCTGGAAAAAGACCAAAGTCCAGGAGTGGATAAACAACCAGCACTTTATGCCAATGTTGACAGCTGGTGAGCGCTAAATAGAAGAAGAAGAAGATGAAAAAGAAAAAGATAATAAGAGACATTGGGGTCAAGCAGAGGGTAATAAGACTTGAAAATGGTACACACACAAGAAGACTGGTTAAACAACATGGAACTGGAATGATGTTACTACAGATCTTAGAAGTAAAAAGGATTGAAAAACCAGCCTTTAGATTGGTCTACATTTCATACCTTAATTCTTTTGGTCTCAAATAATGCATCATGTGTGATAAAGTAGATTTATTAAATCCCAAACATTACGCAATATGTTCTATTAATTTTTGCATTTGACCATAGAATACTAATGTTACAGTGTGGTTTATGAGGCTTTATTTAAGAGGACAAGGAATAGACCTGCTAACCCCCCCCCCCCCCCCCCCACCAACAAGTATGTCGTAGGAGATGACTAATAGGGAAGTTTCCTTCCAGGTCAGAGGGCATCTGCCTGAGAGGTGAGGAAACAACAGACTGCATACAAATAAGCCTTATCTGTAAAATGGATGTGCACACGAAACTCAGGTTGTGCATCAAGAATCAAGACCAAAGTCCAGTAGTGGATGAACAGACATAACTTTCCACCGGAGTTTATGGCCGGTGACCGCTAAGAAGAAAAATACTTAAGAAATCTGGCATTCATGGTTGCCTCTTTGAAATGTTTGTACTCATGATTTTTGATAGTTTTTTTTCACTCTCTAAGCAACTGATGTGAAAAGTTCTAGGACTGAAAGAATTAAAGAAAAAGCAATTATATCAATTAAAGAGTGGAAACACAGAATCTACACCTGTTAGAATAGCAATGTGTCAGGGATGTTTTCTATCTCTAGGACTAAAAACTGGATGTTAAAGTCCAGAAGACAAACTGCCAATAGATAGCATCTCTTGGTCACTACTGTGCAATTAGATGAATATAATGGCCTTGACATTCTATATAGTTAGTTCAATGAAATATTTTTGTTAGCAGTTATGCCAATATCTATATTTGAATTTGTATGTATCTAAAAACAACCCCTATCTTTTTAGCCGCAAACAAAGACATAAATATTTTCAACACATTCTCTGCATAAGATGACACCCCACCCCCCAATTGAAGCTGAAAAAAATTTGGGGAAACAAAAATTTTTACACAGAAAAATATGGTACTTTGCTTATTTGTTTGTGTTGTTGACTAACATTCTCAAATGTTATCTTTAGGGTTGATTGGACCATCCCGTAGCTCTACAGCTACCAGAGTTGCATCTTTGTTACGCGATGTTCAAGTTCCAATAATCAGCATGTCTGCTACCAGAGCGGAGCTCAGCAACACAGCTGACTATCCCACATTCTTTCGAACTGTGCCATCTGATGATCATCAGATGAATGTAAGTAAATATGTTTATTGAATGTAGTGCAGACAAATGTTGTGAATAGAGTAAAAAGTGAAGCAAGAGACCTTTTTACGCCAGATTTGCATCAGGCATATGATGCCAGCCTGATTTTTTTTATAGACCAGTTGGCACTTGATGGGTCATGGGGTCGGCATCATGCCAGCCGCCTTTACTTCCAAGGACATTAACCTGGTACTTATCTCAGACTGGGTTATCCTGGGAGTCAAGGTTAGTTTAAAAAAAGTGGACTTAATGTGGATTCGAACTCATACCTTTGAGCTGCATGTGACTCTAGCCGCTACACCACCATGACTCCCAAGTGTTGTGAGTGCAAGCTTAAAATCATCACAGTCAGCAACACTGCACATTGGTAATTGTCATTTAAATGTCTTTTTTTCTAAATCATAAGTCAGCTGGTGCATTTTCTGGTGGGAACATTTGACTCCATTAGTTATGTTCATAGGTTTACTTGATTCAGGATTAGTAGCTGGGGATGAGGGCTTGTTTTTGTGTGTGCACATATCATGGACATGTGTGCATGCATGCGCACACATAAGGAAACCAAATTGTTTTTCAACCACTGAGCAAAGACATCTTTCCTCATTTATGCACTTCCTACCATTGTATAGCACAACTTGTCAATCGCTTGTTGCATCAGTATCAGTTTTATATCACACTGACACACGCATGCACGTACGTGCGCTCACACACACACACACACACACACACACACATGACACATACACACACACACTCTCTCTCTCTCTCTCTCTCTCTCTCTCTCTCTCTCTCTCTCTCTCTCTCTCTCTCTCTCTCTCTCTCTCTCTCTCTCTCTCTCTCTCTTTCTCTCTATTTCAGACCAGGTTGTTAGTGGTGTTTCTAGAAGTGTATTATATTTCAGTGCATTACCATGTTATTCCATTATAGCATCTTTCAAACATGAATTTATCTTCATTAAATATGCTTGAAACCTCTTGATACAGATGATAATAGAGATTCTAGAGCAGATGTCTTGGACATATGTTGCTGTTGTGTACAGCAATGATGACTATGGTAACACAGCCTCTGTCAAACTATCTGAACTTGCATCAAAGAAAGGCATCTGCATTTTCAAGAGCTTTGCATTGGGAGCTGATACACCAAGTTTTAATTCTGAGCTTGTGTCACTTTTTAAGGTATTCACTAATTAGATAGTTTATCTTCCTCATTTCACTCACTAGTTAGAAAATTAACTGTATCTAAATAATCTTTCTGATTTTAATTTGGTACATTTAAAAAAAAAAAAACACTGTTCCTCTACTTTTGTTTTCTGCCTACTTTGTTTGTTTGTTGGTGTACATGAACACATACATTATTGTTTTCACTCTGTGTAGGGTGATTTATTCGTTCAGTCAGTCTGTCTGTCTATTTGTCTGTCTGTCTGTCTGTAGGCAGGCAGGTTACACATGTTGAGGTGAGGTAAGGTAAAGTAAGGTAGGTTAGTTTGTTAGTTATTTATCACAGTTAGTGTTGCTGCACATTGGGCATTCCCATGTGTGATAAATCCTTTGACGTAGCTGATTATTCCCATGATGAGTTGGTTACATAAACTCTGTCTTGACCTTGAAGACAGCACCAGTGTGCTTCACCCCTGTGATCATGCAGTAGTGTCATCTTGAGAGGATTCGTTACTGTTCATTAGTCCAGTGGTCTCCAACCTTTTGCAGGTTTTTAAAGTGCTTTTTTAATGTTCCAAGTTGTGCACCCCTTCCCCGGTGAGAGACTATTACATGTATGCATCTGTTCAGTGTGGATAAGTATTCATTAGGCATCTTCAGGGAGATCTTATGGGGTCTGAAAGAGTTACGTGAAGTCTGATCAGCAGAAGTGAAGAGGGGTATTCTCTGTCTAGGGGTAACTATGAGGGAGCAAAACAGGAAGAGATGAGAGTTTGGAAGGGATTTGTGGAGCATGTACACAATAGAAAGTAGATGTGTCATTTATCTTGTGAATATTCAACAATGTTGAAGGGGATCGCTAAATGATACTGTGCATACATGAAGGATAATGATTACAGGCGCTAGCTCTAAAAGAAAGAGGTTCAGAGTAGTACAGTTTCAACATTTATATACTCTGGTACCACGATATACCTTAGTATACGTTCACCTTGATATTTGTTTAACTTGGTATACGTCCTGTTAACGTGTGAAAACATTTGCTTGGTATACAACTGTTTTATTTTGTTTTTGAAAAACGATTTTACCTGAGTCAAAATTAATCACGACACCACAGTCTATCATTCTTTACCAATCTACCATATCTAAATGCTGTCATGTAATTGTTTTTTTTTTAAATAGTTCCATCTCCTTCTTTCTATATTGATTTGTTTCTTGTCAGTGTTTGTCGATGAAGGCTTGTTGCTGCAACATTTTTTGCTTGTTTATTATAGTGTGTTCTGGAAAAAAAAAAGCTGACCTACACCTTGGTTTCTCAATTTTATTTGTTAACATGTGTTACATGCACATCCACACACTCTACCATGCTCTGACATGCTTATGCATGCGCACACATTTAACTCCATTTAACTAACTTCATTTTATTCCTAGGCTGCCAAAGGCAATTCTATTGCAATTCCATTCATTGGAAACAGGGATAATGCTGAACAGTTCCTTTGGACACTCGACAACCTGAGAGTGGATAATATAAATATCAGATATGGTTTCCATCTGATACTTTCTGAGTCCTCAAATACTGACGTTTCTATCTACAACAACAAAAATATTGGATTTGGTACAATGGCAATCGGGGGCTCGAATATTTTTCTCAATGATCTCTATCAAGACCTAACAGAGAAAGTCAAGTAAGTGCTTGTGCTTCATTAGGAAAGCAATTCTTCCAAATACTTGTGAGATGATTAAATGACAAAAAAGTTGTAATCCCATTGCAGATAACTGTTATTGAAGTTTCAGGGGATGGAACCTGGTGTATACAAGATTTTAACATTGGTTAGGATGACCTGCTGCTCCTTTTTTTCTTTGTCTTGCTTCCTCTTTAGAAAAATTTGATCCATTCTACTTGGTTTGGTTAATATCATAGCCGAATACAGTTAGAAAATATGTCACCTCAGTAATTATAAGTTGGCAGCTTTGCTACCATGACACCATTGTAAGATGATGTCTCTTTCATTCTTTTTCTCCTCCATCTCCTCTTCCTCTTCATTTTCCTCTTCCTCTTCATCATCATCATCATCTTCTTCTTTTTCTTCTCTAGTCCTATTCTACCTTTCAGAATTATGGTTTGAAGAGGCATCAGGCGTCAGCCTCCTTTAAAAAATAAAAATTCATCAGAATATGATAAAATCTCACATATAATATTCACTCATGTATAAAACACAGTTTAGCCCAGACTGTACGTTAAATTTTAAGTACAAGTATATATTAAGTATATTGCACATAATTAAGTTTATTAAATGTTTATTAACCCTTTTACCATGAGTGTCACAACTGACACTTCTAGTTTGGTCAAATTTCTCATAAGTGTCACTTTCCCAACTTGTCTATAGTGGCTTGTTTACGAGCTGCACAGTTAATGCTATTTGCTATTTTCTCACCTATGCAAATGTTTAGGTGGTCAGGATGGGAATACATTAACTTAAAATAAGAAATAGGGGGTTCTGCTTTGAGCCAAATGGTAATAGTAACATTGCTCTTCCCACGGTCCGCCAATATACACACTAGCTGACTTCTGATTGGATAACCTTCAGCTTAGCTAACTTCTGATTGATTGACCTTGAGCCACGCAACCTCAATACAATTTCACGGGGGTGTTCGCAATTTTTTTTTTTTAGATTTACCATTGACCTTTGTAAATATTTCTAAAACAAAAAAAATTATTTCTGGAATTCCAATGACACTTTCTTTTAGCATTACTGGGGTGAGAGAGTTAAAAGAACTGAAATTAAAATAACAAACAGAAATAGGTTTATAATATCTAAATTTTGGGTACATTGCTCCCTCATTATCATGTCTCATTTCAACCTAGTGGTTAACCTAGTGCTAAGTGTGATCCATTATTGATGCCATCATCCATGTCTGATAATGTCTTTTCTGCTATAAAACATTATTTTATATCGTTTTTTCTAAAAACAATTTTTTAGGAAGCCTTAAAGTTTGGTCTTATTCCTTTCATGCAGCAAGTACCTACTCAATGACATCTGTAGGAGTCAGCTGGCTTCTATCACCAGCTGTACATGTATGGTTACTGTCTCTTAACCAAGTATTCCATTTAGAATGGAGAGCATTTTTCACTTCCACCAGAGAGCGCACCACATAAAGCCCTGTCACTCAGGACATAATGGACTCAGACCCAGAGGTCAACCACACAAGTTATGGATAGATTGAATCTCCGAGGCTGTAAATGTGAGCACCTATGCAGTACATACCAAGGCTCTCACCCTATGCCTTTTCAAAACCTGATGCTGAAAAGCAGTTCAAGTTTAAAGAAGAAGAAGAAGCATCTTTCATTGGCTAATTAACATCCTACGGCTGCAACAAGCAGATGATGCCACCAGAAATTTTAAACAGATTGGATTGTAGTTTATCTTCATTTCCTTCTGCATAGAAAGCTGTCGCTGACACTGAAACAAGTCAGACACCAGCATTGATTGTTGTGTGTGTGCGTGCAAGTGCTTTTTTAAAAAAATAGATCAAGTAATGAATATTTAGTCCATCTGTCCATATTTTTCAATGAATACTGATTCCTATACTCTTCAGAAGCTGTAATTATTTTTGGAAAAAGTTTTTTTTATCTTAAAAACATTTTGAAAGGTGACAGCATTCTTTCATCTGTTGAACATGCTACTGGTGAAGTTGGAATGTTGTTGTTATTCATTTATGCATGTAGATACAGTTTTTATGCTTTCTGTGTCTATGGTCTTGCACATTACATATTGAAAGTCAACAGCATTTTGTCAGTATTTCCATTGTGCATTATAGATATGTTGTGTCCTAAATTTG